AATATGATTCTCGTAAGATTTGTAAGGTCAGCAGTAAAATAATGCATCAAGGGCACCACATTAGCTTTGCTCACCAAGTGTTGCAGACTTCTTTAACAGTCTGTCCAGGTTGGTAGAAGACTCCATTGTGAACACATGTACAGTTCTCTTCTTTTACACATCCTCCTTGTCCATCAGCCAGTAGACCATTTGGACACACACACCCTGATGTACACTGTGTGCTCACCTGTGACACAAAGAAAGATTCAGAAGGTTTATAACTTACAATTTACACTCACTATAGACTCTGACAGTTCTCTTCTTCCCTCTGTTTGAAAACAATAACTAAAGAAAAGCAAAATGGAAACACGTGAATTGTACTGGGAGTGTTTTGCTTTCCTTTAAATGTATCTGATTGTGCTCTAATTACTTATTATAAAGAAGAAAAAGAAAAAGAAGAAATGCCGTATAAGTGTACAGACTATGCACATTTCTGTGATTTGTCTCATCTAGCACACCTGATTCAAACTAATTAAAAGCTCCTTGTGGGCAGGTGGAGTCACCGGCCTGGCATTGCATTACACAACTAAATCAGATGACCACAGTGAATCACTGTGGTGCTCAACTGATCCTGACTGCTAGCCTAGTCACTGATCTATAGGCTACTAAATACAACCGTGGTGCTAGCTAGCATTTGGGTAGTAGCTCCTACCTCAGTTTTCAATCTATTAGGTATGTGCAGCACTTCTGATTTAAACCAAAGGACCACTAGTTTGGGTTACTGTGTCACTGGTATGTCCAAGAAAGCAGATTGTAAGAAAAAAAAGCAATTTTGTCTTTATTTAACAAAAAAATAGATGTCAGAGACACATTCTTAACCCTTTCAGCCAGAGACAAGAGCCAAACTGAGGTAAGCTACCTTGCTAACTTTAGCTTTTAGCTTGTTACCTTGCTTAGCTACTCATCTGACAAATTCTTTCTGTCACTTGAGAAATCCATTTTCTTCCATTGTTATGATGATTTGAAGACAGTAAATACGTTTATGGTTACAATAAGATATTCAGCTTCCTAGAAGTAACTATAGTTAGTTTCCTTCACCAGCTAGTGAAAAGAAAAAGCCCACCAGTCTCCAAAACAGTTGGACTTCCTCTCATATTGAAGATATGTCATTATAAATCAAATTGACAAATCATGCTCTGGAGAATAATGGGACACTGCTGAAGAATGCAAGTAGGCATGTTTCTGACAGATGTAGCGATGGTTAAATTTTTCATTTTGGCTGGGATGTCCCTGTAAAGACACTGAATGAAAGCCCCAAGCGCAAAACACAAGACTTAATGTTGCTTTGTTTCTGAAATTGCTATACTTATGTTTTTTTTCTGTTTTTATATTTGTTGTTGTGTTTTTAAGTTGGCTTGGATAAGCAAAGTTACTGTTCTTCGTCATCTTCTTCTTATTAATATTCAATGCTCAAAAAATAAAATATTTTGTCTTGCAGTTTTTTGAGCTAGAACAATGAAAATTTGCAGGATCGTAGGACCTATACCCGATTAGGTTGCTTGAGCTTTTCTAAGAGATCCAACATACAGTTTTCGCAAAACAATCGTTCAAAGACGATCATTTTTCCCCTAGGAAATGAATGGCCAGAATGTTTGGGACATTCAAGTCTAAGTGCCACAAGTGATGTCACAGTGCACATCTCTCACACAGACACCCATACACAGTACACACAGTCTCACACGCTTACAGCCTAATGAACAGCAATATCAGCACAAATAATGGATTTAGGGTATCAGTAAATTTAAGGTGTATACAGTATTAATTATTATAGACGTTACTCCCAAAACAAAAAACAGAGAAAAACTCATTTTTTAAATACACACACACACACACACACACACACAGCAAATATGCACACACATCAGAATTAGTTGTATCTGTTGAGTTCAAAACATTTTGTACATGTTTGATTATGGATGGCCAGAAATGCACAGAGCACATGCCTTAAAGCACAGTTAAAGAAGGTGCATAATATGAGACTATTTCAGGTAGTTTTAGAATTGTGTGGGTTGGACACAAAGCTATAAAATAAAAGCATAAGAGAACAAGTACATTTGTCATAAATGATCTACCTCTTCATCCATTTGTTCGCACTCTTACTTATCCACTTGTCCGTATTTAATGCATTTATCCACCACAGTCTGCAGATTTACTTACACACTGATCAGAGTCCAGCGTCTGGCAGCTTTTCTGGCATTCTGTCCCTCTGGCTTCAGGTCCAGCATTCGAGCAGTTGAAGAAGTACATAGGAGCTTTGCAGGCTAAAAGAGAAAAAAAAAATAAAACTCAAAACATCAACACAGTCCATTAATCAACTTCTACATTAGGAAATTAGTGCTCACTTGGAACTTCCTGCTGCCCGATGCAGTGTAGCTTGCCATGAGTGCATGTGCTGTGGAAAGATAGAATAACGTCTCATTAGAAATAACACATTCTAACAGTTAAGCTGATCTGTGTTTATTTATATTATACACTGTATCTATGTTCATTACACCGGGAATTGTATATTACATGTACATCTAGCATTTATATGTTGTGCTTCACATGCTCTGAATTCAAAAGTTTGATGCATGTTAAACACACATTTGACAGGGATGCCTCAACAGAGAATTATTATTATGTGAGATTTGGGGATTTGAAGACTTGGTGGAAAATGTGTTATTGCAGACAATGTACAGAAGAACATTTTGTCATGTTGCTTGTGCTGCAGAATAAGGTTGGGTGGTATGATGGTAATAATGTATACTGCAGTGTTTTAAAATAATGTGTAAAATTTCTATTTCAAGTCTGAACAGCCCAATAAACACATTCTGCCCATTTAAATTTTAGAGAAGCTCACTGATAGGTGGATAAATAGTGCTTCCAGTACAACTGAAACCCTGCCTAGTACAACAAAACCACTCCCAGTACAACTGAAACCCCTCCCAGTACAATCGAAACTCCTCCCCATGCAGTACATCACTGAGCATGTGATCCTGGTCTGTGAAGAAGATAATCAATGAGGACGCACATGGTTGGGGACCAGACAAAATGACATGCTTAATAGCAATAAGGACAAAACTGCAGATGACTTAATAAACAATAACTGGTTAACTGGTTGCCATGTAATGAGCAGAACCGGAGACACATTTGGCTGCCAAGTGTAAATGCATGTAGCTAAAATCTTGTCAGGATACAATCCAGATACTAATCACATGAAGTGACCAGACAAAAACAAGCTATCAGATATCCTCTAAATGGGTATCATTTTAGCATCAGTTAGGAGGAACCAAACCAGTACATCACAGTAATATCCGCAGCAGGTTTAGTGCCCAATGCTACTTCTGACCCCTTGAATTTGGAGATTGTGTGTTGAAAAAGTATTTTAAGCGAACTTAGAAAACTTAGTGAAGGATGTGTCTTCTGATGATGTGAGGGAATGATCTACTGTTGTCATCATATCATCAGCAATTTAATGCTGATATACATTTGAGGCCTAAAAGGACAGATCTTTCTGAGCCTTAGCATGTAATGTTAATACATAAAGACATGTGCCGTGGTCACTAAATCCGACCTGACACCTCTGACTTGATTATAAAATTATTTTTTCAGGCTTTACAGGGTGACTCATAGCAGCACGCACACACACACATACACAATATTTTAGCATGTTTTTACCTTCTGCCTTAGCAATGCTACTTCTTAACCTCTAAAAAAGTGCAGCTTTAAGTGCATATTATTACCATGTAGTTCCGTCCTTGCTGATGACCTGAGAGGGGGCAACAACCTGATTGTTGTAGTAACAGGGGCAGCTGGAGGCAGGCACACACTCGCCCTTGTCATTGAGGTAGGTACCCTTGGCACAGCCACAGCCGTCCAAAGGTGTGTGAATCACCTGACAGGTGTGATCATATCCACTGAGGGAGCGGCAGGTGGTCCCACAACCACTCAGGCTGTAGTAGTACTCCATATTGCCTGGACAATCTGCTGAGAACCTACCTGCACAAGACAAACAGGAGAAAATTGGAGGTAGAAATTCTTCAACACTTCAGTTACTGCTCTAAGTGATGATAAAATACTGATGAATATGTAACAAAATTTGTTTCATCAGCAAGTAGTTAAACCTGGTTAAAGAGGCACTTAAAAACAAACGCTTTCAGTACTGTTCAGTTAAACAGGTGACTGTGTTCTCTACTGTTTTCATCCAATTGTTATGGGGTGGGAAAGAGTGCTAAAGAAAGAAAGAAGGAGAATTGTTACTTAATTTCTATTGTGAAATAAATAAATAAATAAATAAATAAATGTAACTGAAGTGCGTGATCAGAGTGTCTAAGTCTGGTTCTGGTCTAGTTTCAACACCTGGCTCAAATATTCTAATATTTCTTGTCATTTCAACTGATTTGTCACTGACAGTTTTTTCTGCTTTTGATAGTTAGGTGGATGATCTAAGATTGTTGGCAAAGTTTCCAAACAAGGGTTCTGTCATTTTCTCTCTGCCCCAGCCTGCTCCCTGTAGCTCCACCCCCTCAAGATGTGTATGTTGTGTAATTCCACCTTGTAATAATTGTTGTGTTTCCTTATTATTATGTTTTCTTAATCTTATTCTTTGCCAAGAATCGTTGGTTATTTGTACCATTTCTTTCCTGTTCTTTATTACTTAATTTGTTACTCTCTGCCTGCTCATGAAGTCCCACTTAAGTTGGATCTTACCTCCATGCCTTATTACCAATTTTAAAACGGTATATCTGCAATTCAAAACTTAAAAAAGCAAACCTATGGCGTTAATAATATGAAAAACAAATGACACATATGAAAAGTAATGAAAGTCACTGAGTTGACTTTACTTTCCAGCCTCCTCTCTCAGTTTAGTAGCCATTTATTCTCAATTCTGCTATTAGATTTGAAGTTACTCTTAATAGCAATATGTGCTGTACTCAGTTTTAAGGGGGCTTTGATTCTTTTTAAACTGTTTGAAATCTCACCACAGGTGGCGTTTCTCCAGCCGTGGAGTCGAACACCTTTGGCAGCACACGCATATACATAGGAGGACACAGCTGCACACATGCACTCTTCACTTTTGGCACAGTTGCATGTATCATAAATACACCTCTGCAAAAAATAAAGCAACACAGTTTAGTTCATTAATAAAATTCCTCTAATATCATCTATGCATGTAATGTATTCATAGGCAGGGGCGTGGCAGCATTAGGGCCTGAACTCATGGCCCATTTTGGATAGTTATGCAAACATAACATAACATAAATGGCTTGTTTTTCCCCTAAAAAATCTGAATGAATATATTATTTGGTAATACATTTATTCGAATAACTGCACGGAGTGAAGCTGCACTCTTCTTTGGAAAAGGAAATGGATTTGTACACATTGGTTAAGCTAACTAACTAACACACCAGACTGAAGATTCTTAACAAGGGAGCATTAGTGGTTAAAACAGTTTTGTGTGCATTGCTGAACTTCTAACCAAGTCTATGCTGACCAGCTTGGCAACAGGCTCCTCCTTCAGAGTTAGACTGAAATATTTACTAAATGATTTACTGTTACAAATCAAACAGTACTGTACTGTACACCGATCAGGCGTAACATTATGACCACCTCCATGTTTCTACACTCATTGTCCATTTTATCAGCTTCACTTACTATATAGGTGCACTTTGTAGTTCTACAATTACAGACTGTAGTCCATTTGTCTTCTGCACACTTTGTTAGCCCCCTTTTACCCTGTTCTTCAGTGATCAGGACCCCCATGGACCCTCACAGAGCAGGTACTATTTGGGTGGTGGATGATGTTCAACACTGCAGTAACACTGACGTGGTGGTGGTGTGTTAGTCTGTGTTGTGCTGGTGCGAGTGGATCAGACACAGCAGTGCTGCTGGAGTTTTTAAACACCTCACTGTCACTGCTGGACTGAGAATAGTCCACCAACCAAAAATATCCAGCCAACAGCGTCCTGTGGGCAGTGTCCTGTGACCACTGATGAAGGACTAGAGGATGACCAACACAAACTGTTCAGCAGCAGATGAGCTATCGTCTCTGACTTTACATCTACAAGGTGGACTGACAAGGTAGGAGTGTCTAATAGAGTGGACAGTGAGTGGACAGTGTTTAAAAACTCCAGCAGCACTGCTGTGTCTGATCGAGTCATACCGGCAAAACACACACTAACACACCACCACCACATCAGTGTCACTGCAGTGCTGAGAATGAACCACCACCCAAATAGTACCTGCTCTGTGAGGGTCCCTGGGGGTCCTGACCACTGAAGAACAGGGTAAAAGGGGGCTAACAAAGTATGCAGAGAAACAGATGGACTATAGTCTGTAACTGTAGAACTACAAAGTGCACCTATATAGTAAGTGGGGCTGATAAAATGGACAATGAGCATAGAAACATGGAGGTGGTCACAATGTTATGCCTGATCGGTGTACATTTGATCCCAGAAAAAGAATTGAGGCTACTGGAAACATCTTCGAGGCTATAGCTCAATTTTGCCCCTGCACATTTGATGTGAAAAAAAAAAAATACTCTTACATCTTTGTAGTCCTTTGGGTTGACTTCAGCATGACAGGGTGAAAAGACTCCCTTAGAGTCAGTAAGCATGTTACACCATTCCCTGGCATATTTCTCTGAAAGGGCACAGAATTAAAAAACTTTAGAATTAAACTGCTTCATGCAGATTTAATACAGAAGCTACTTCTTCAAAAGTGTTGTCTTGTACATTAATTTTGGATTCATGTACATTAAAATGTTCTGAAACGTTAAAGTGTGTACCTTTTTCCACACTCATACTACAGGGATTTTGTTGACTCATACTCATGTCAGGACAGTTGGACATAGCCTTCCATGTGTTGGCAAACGTTGCACCTGTGCCCTCTGTTAGTCCTAATTTTGTTTTGAAGTCGTCTGCCTGGACATCGTTAAAGTTCCCACACAGACCTAAAGGCAAAGATACGCATTATCACCAGAGGTTTCACCTTCTGAGAAAGATGAAAGATTTTCATAGTGCTTCAGGAAACACACACCACTCAATGTTCCTTTCTTTTGAGAGCTGGCTACTATGAACACCTGCATGACTGGAACCATTTGGATCACGAGCCGAAGGCCTGAAGCATGAGCGATGATGTAGAATGTAGAAGGCTTAAAGACTGTGACTTGATCTGAGACAAAAATAAGAGAATAATACTTCAAACACCACAGCTTTTTTTCAATGGTCTTTCCTGACTAGCGTTGAATGAATGAATTTATGAATTTATCGTGAGGTAAAAATGGAGGACATTTATGAAAACTCACCATTTAAAATGGGAAGCTTGGTTGCAATCTCATTCACAAGCACAGAGCCACTGGATGAGAAAGTAACCTGTTTAATTAGGATAAATAATTAAGAAACATTTGTTTTATACTTTGTCAAGAGTGTGTGAAGGTATTAACAAGTATTCTTTTTGGATAAATTGTCATAGACAATAACCACAGAATGTATTACTGTATTAAATAGCAGAACATAGGCCCAAAGTTTCACATGTGACCTTAAACCATTAGGTACTTTGAAATACTTACAGTAGTTTCAGAAATGATGAACTTTACATCAGTCAGACATGTTTCAGTTTCTGTCTGCCCACACTGCACCAGATGCCCCAGTACTGTCACGTCATTTACGCTGTCCTGAAAAGAACAGTATATGTCAAGCATTTGCTATGACTACTACTGGTTTTATAACTTAGCCACATATCTTCATATCTTTGGCATATCATTTTGCAAATTTAGTTAAAGTAACCTTGGAAAGAATGTAGTAGCAGTTTCCATGGAAGGTGTAAGCTTTGCCATCATATGTGTTGATATGAGACCCTCCTTGTATAGAGCAAGTGCCAGGGCAGTCCAGGTTCACACAACTCCACCGCCCATCAGAACACACACTGACCACAACAGAGAAGGTGAATTAAACAAAACCCTTAACCCCTTAAGGCCAATTTAAAAATGTCCATTTCTCCTGTTTAATCTCTGATTATAACATGATTTCTCAATGCTTTTGTTTCATTTATTTGACATGTTTGCAATCCAGTAAATCCACTGTAATCTAATATAATCTAACTAAACTGAAAAATAATAGATTCTACATAGTTTGTGCCAAAAATGACATTTTCAGTCATATAAAAACTCCCTTTTAATTCATTAAAATTTACCTACAGAGTAGTAGAGATGTGTGAATATTCACCATCTTACAGCAAAGGGTCACTATAAAGTATATTCCTATGAATATGTTTCCTTGGCTTGCAGTACAAGCAAAAGTTAACAAAAGTTAAAGGGAACTCAAAAGCTCATAGTGTAGTGCTGTTTTTTAACTCACCATTTTTGACAGGTTCTATTGTATGACTCTCCAGGCTGGTAAATATTTCCATTGTGGATGCAGGGACACCGATCAACTGGGATGCAGCCATTTCCCTTAATGTCATTAAACACAGTTCCTAGACAGTGAGATACATAATTGAGCATTTATACAATTTACTGGACTGTATTTGCAGATGATTCCTCTGGCATGTAAACTATAGCAAGGGAAACATTAAAAAAACTGTATGAAAAGAAACAAAGAGTTCAACTTTAACCAGACAATCAAGCCTTGAATAAAACTGATCTGGGGTGGGTTTCCTGCAAATTATCAATCTTAAGAAATAATCATCAACCTAATGAAGGAATGACTTAAGGAATGAATGCAAAGCACATCCATGATAATTATTTTCCTTTACCATAACTGGAAAAAGCATCACCAGCTGAAAACTGAATCACCAACTGAACCAACAGAACCTATTTTCATTTTGTCAGTTCACGGTTACACCCAAAAAATTAAACATTTTAAACATAGCAAGGGAAACAGGGAAATGTCCATTTACTGATAATGTAAAACCATAACCAACTATTATTATTATTATTATTATTATTATTACACGAACTATGAGACACAAAATAATATATTGTTTTATTTCGGACATCAATTGTTAGTTTGTATATACATGTATTATATTATTATATTTTAATATGAATGTCTGCATTATTATTATTATTATATCTGTATATTCTTAAAGACTCTAGAATCCAAAGGTTTTTGGTACAGAAGTGCAGGAAAAACTGAAATAAAAAAAGAACTTTTAGAAAAGAAATAAAAGTAGATGCAGATGTGGACTGTGCTTTGGAGCTGCAGTCCATTGGGTTTTCACTGAAAATATGAATGACTGATGACATTTAATTAGCCCACGACTGCAATGATTTTATTTATATGTCTCTGTTTGTAACTTAAAGTGCCGTTACTGGCCCAATACAAACTACTGCCAGAGAACTTGTAGTGAGGAGAATAACCACTTTGGTTTCTCAAATGCTAGAGGGCGCTCCCGAGTGAGTCCAAAATGAATGGGTTAATGTGGAGCAGCAACACTAGCATCCTGCTGCCATAAACCAGTTTCAATAAGGAAACATACAGGTAAGTTTTCATTGCTTTTCAGTGAAATACATCCTTCTACTTTCTGAAATTAAAGGTAGCTCTGGGCAACTGATTTGAAACTATTTTAACTTTTTGTTTTTAGCTGTAGAGCTCAATTCTTCCCCATTCATTGAGGACTTGCTTGCAGGTGCCCTCTGCTGTTTTGTAGTCCTGTTTTTGATATAACGGGGGAAATAGGAAGTGGCCAGGCTCCTCATAAACCGGCTCTGCTACTGCCTCTAGAAAACCACTAGAGGGTGCTTCACAACCCACTGGTGGTCCATGGCCCACAGGTGGAAAAACCCTGTATTACAGCAATAAGCCACAAGAGGCTGTTTGATACTGTGATTTTATCATGGGACGGGTCTTCTTAGGCATGATGTGAAGCAGATTGAAGAGAAGAACGTTCGGTCACCCATCTCTGTATATTGCAGTTATTTCATGAATTCTTTTAACTTTTTGTGGTATAACAATGAACAGATGATACCACAGCACTGTTTAATACAAAGACTTTCGCTCTATAAGCACTTTTTGGTCACCAAATTACCACCGCAAGTCTTATTTAGCACCAATCCAACAGCGCCCCTCTTCTCATGCTGGGACTGAATCTCAAATGCTCCCTGCTCCCTACATAGTGCACTGCATAGGAATTTAAATACTCAATCCTGCACCCTAAAAGTGCATAACATACCTAAAAAAAAGGTCATTTGGGACTCATCCATAAATACCACACTATTTGGCTGTAAAGGCTAGAATTTTTTACTTTCATAGCTAGCACACTATTTAGGAAGTACAAAGTCATTTGAGATTCACCCTGTAGTTTGACACTACTTTTGATTGAAACACAGACATTTTAAGTGTGTAATCCATTCAAGTGACTTTTTTTAGACTTTTATACTGCCGTTTTACAGTTAATCACACCGTAAGTACTTTACTTTAAGCCTATGAGATCTCTCTCTGTCTCTCTCTCTCTCTCTCTCTCTCTCTCTCTATATATATATATATATATATATATATATATAGTCAAAATCTTGTAAGGCAAGATCTCTGCAGCTGGGTCTATTGAGCAAAACCATGTCAAAACACAATTTCCCATTTTATTTGTGTGTTACTGCTGTTTGTGAGTGAAGGTTACCTGTTGGGCAGAAGCAGCCATCGCTACAGTGTTCGCTGCAGACAAGACCCCCCTCTTGGTTAGAACAGGTGTCTTTGCATGGATTCCCACATTCCCTGTGCTCCAGGTTAAATGGACACTCTTTACCTATACAGGAGAAACGCATGAGGGAACATTAACACTCCAAAAGAAATTAAAATTGTCTTGTCCGTAAGAGGCACTTTATTGACCTTTAATTTGTCATTTGCTTAAACGTCTTGGCTGGACATAGCCTACTCATTCTCTTGCCTAGTCTACATGCCTTTGTGTTTATATTTTATATTTTGCCTTGTCTTGCCATTAGACTAGTCCTTAGCATTAGCTTTCTGTTGATCTCATTCAGCCTATTGTAGCCAGCCTTACATTTCTAGGCCACAGTCTCTTGGCTCTTATTATGTCTTGTGATTTCCACTTGTATGTTGATCATTAAACTCTACTGCAGTAGTGTCCATTTCCCTATCCAGTCTTGATTGTTACAGTTCTTGGTCCCCTTGGATAAATCATTTCCTACTATGATCTCAGATTTCAATGCTTTGCAGACGACACTAGATTTATGTTTATTACAATAACTAACATACCACACAAATTGTTGGTCCTCCAATTCTGCGGCTTGCCCCCAGCATGTGCACACTGGCGTGAGAACTCGGATATTGTGTCACACACACACACAGCCTCGCTGCTGTTACACTGACACATGTCTCTAACACAGGCTTCCACAAATGCCTTAATGGGCAGCAGTCTTTGGCAGCTACTGAAGGCTGGATTAGAAAGCAGCTGTTCACATAAATAGCTCTGAGAAGGATGGAAAAAATGAAAAAAATCAGAAACGTTAGAATATTATCTACAATGGTTAACAAAATCAAATTAGAGGTTTTTTAGAGGCAAATTAGAGGCTTTTTATGCAGGTCTTTCAAAAGGCTCAAAAGCTTATCTCAAGGCTTATTAGAAGGTCTCCTGTTTGGTCTCTAATATAAATTAATTGATAGAGTGCAGCAAAGACAAAACTCAGCCATCAGAGTAACCTTCAAAATACTTCATCTAACTTACAGGCCCTAAACGGATCACCACCCAATTTTCATTCTGATCTGTCCTTTCCCTCTGCTCTTCAGACTCTCCTCTCTTTACTTTTTCTCACAGTTGCATTCCACCGGTGACCAGAATTTCAGCAGTGCTGCCTCAAGGCTGTGGAATGCCTTTCCACAAACCATCAGAGTTTAGATACTGTTAATGTTTTTAAATCTAAACTTGTTATGTTTAACTTTAAACCTGGTATGGTTAATCAATACTTATCTCTCTGATCAACTTCACCTACACAGGCCTGCCCATGCCCTCTGTCCTGCCCATGCGCTCTGTCTTTCAAACTCTGCTGTCCTCACTGTTCCTCTCTCTAAGTTGTGTTTGTACCATTAGTGACCGGGATTTCAGCAGTGCTGCTCCACGGCTGTGAAATGCCCTTTCTCAAACCATCAGAGACTCAGACACTGTTAATGTTTTTAAATCTAAATGTCGTGTAGTAAATCAATACTGGCACTGTTTTGGACTCTTCTCTGATTCTCAGTTTCTCAAAAGTCTTATTATGCAGTAACTACTCTCATTACTTGGCAACAGCTTTAAAAGTAATTTGTGTAGCTATGAGAAAACCTTTTAGCTAGCCTTTATTCTTGCAACAGCACAAATTAAAAATGTTAATAGAAAATGGTTTACTGGTAATTTTATGTTCTGTTTTTTTTAATATGTTGAACTCAGTAATTTTGCATTTACCTAACGTCCGTTTTCACTTAGAAAATCAACAAAACATATCATTTGACTGTACCCAAACTTTTGCATTTAATTGTACAGCAAGCAAACAAACTCATCAACCTTAGACATTTCATGACGATTATACCTGAGACTGGCATTTCTTAGTGCGGAGCTCAATCTCCTCACATGTCTGTGTGGGTGCATCCATCTTCCATTTATGCCCATATTCTTGTGCTGACAGTTGCGCACCTTTCATAGTGGATATGAAAATTGAGTGAATGTGTAACTAAAGCTGCAAGTATACATTTTGTAATGTAATGTACAAAAAATAATTTATAACTATCAGAGTTGACTCACTGTTTTCATTGAACTCATTGTCCTTAACTCCATTGAAGTCCCCACACAGTCCACAGGTCTGATTCCTGTACTTTGTTGGGATCTCAACCTGAGCAGGCATAACACAGTACATATATGATTCATAAAGCTTGCATACAGTACAGAAATGTCTGAATAATAACCAATGTATAGCACTCACTGGATTTCTCTGTGTTCTCACAATGTTTGATTAAAAAGGTTGATTACTTATATAGGCTTGAGTACTGACAGTACAATGAATGCAAGTTAGTTGTTCCTACAACGTACAATATAATATTGGTTTAAGAAGATTCTTACCAACAACTATGTTTATGTTTACTTGCTATGATAATCTAAAATGTTTGGTATTTCACAAAACACTATTTCAAGACTGGGGTTTTATTACTTAAACATGGAGACTGCCTATAATATTTCACATAATGTGATCAGTGCACACTTTTTCTATTCAACGAAAAAAACATCTCTAGTACCTGAGGTAATAGAACAATAAGATCACTAATTATATTGCACTAAAAATTAATTTCATATTTAACACAAACAACAAATGTATAATACTGTGTCTTTTTGGCCCTCCAAGTTTCCTTAGCCAAAGAGATAAAGTGTAAAGTTTAAATAATTATTTAAGGTCCAGTGCAATAAACTACAGGGTGTACAACTGTAAGCACAAGTGGGATTTTGGATACAATGACTTAAGTGTGATTACAGGGCTCATGTATTAAAACAGCAGTTATAATGTTAGTAACAGCTGCTATAGAAGCATTGATAGAATCATTACTTTATGGTTCTTTGCCAAACATCTGACTTGACTTTCTCAACAGGAATTAACTGAAGAGATGCAAATTCGTTCTACCTGGGGCTGGATACTGGAATAAAAAAAAGGGGAAAAGGAAGTGCACACTTATGGAGAAGTTGTCAGAGACATTTCAAAACTCCCTGTTGCACTTCCCTGCATTTATCTCACTATGACATGTAAGTTCCATATCCTGTTCAATATTTATCTTTCTCGCTTTTTTTAAGTAAACATTCTTTACGTGAAAATGTGCTGTTTGCTTTTTATCTCTGAGACTCTTAGTAAACCACAGTACAGCTTTCTGTCACACTTAACAAGGAAGTTCTGACACTGAGCAATCAAATGTTTCCTACAGCTTCTCTACAGTTGTTATTCATCTCTTAACCTCATTTCATCAAATACACTTGTAGACAAACAATTATCTGTCCGTGCTTTACCTTTACAGGAAAAGTTTATGCATAATCAATGATTGGTTAAGATTACAAAATGTCACTTTCTTAGGTCTAGGTAAACATTATGGATTATCAGATTAGGTGCTAAATTTAAAAGCATTATGCTAATTTGCTGGAGTTTTAATCTTACTGTGCACCAAGCAACAGTATGTACTGAATAGAATGAAAACATAGTTCAACTGTACCGAGAGAAAGTTGTGTTGATCCCAAAGGATTTCAATTTCCAGTTTACTGGAGCTTATCTTAATGTAACTTGTTGTTTTTGCAATCCTAACTCCAAACTGATAATCTGGGATGGCCACTCTAATAAGAAAGCAGGAAAATATTAGAAGCACGACACACTCAAATGACAAGAAGCTCAGTTAGAGAAAGTATTTCTAAATCTTAGAATAAGGCTTTAAACTAAGTAATAATGACATAATGGCAGCATGAAATATGATTGAGATTTTTGTGATGAAATTTATACAAATCAAAGCAACTTTCTACTGTCTATTTTATATTACATACACTGTAAAATCTTCATTGTGAAATTACAGTATATTAATCGCTACTAGCTGCATTACTTTCATAGTAATTTGCTTTAACATATTAACAGTAAATAGCAGCAAAATAGCAACATAGCAATAATATAGCAACAATAGCAGAGTCATCTGGAGCACAAGATTACTGTGATGCAGCTGCATCTTCCTGTATTTTCACATAACAACTGTAAAAGTCATGTAACTCAGTAGCCAGTAACTTACTATAAATTTGCATATCGCTGCTGTCGGAACAAAACCTTGTATCTTCAAAATGATAACTTGACAGCAGAAGGAAAAATATACTTTACTTTTAGTGTAAGTCAATGGAACCAGACTTTTTTCCAAATAAATTGAATGTAAATGCAAGATTATGTCAAAAATTGAAAAACGGCAAAAATGGAGATTAAGGTTTTGTTCTGACAGCAGTGATATGAAAAAATGGCAGATGAATTTTACCAAATACATAACTATTACTTCCTTTCTTGAGAAATTAAAAACTAAAAGCTAAACTAAACTACAGCATTAATGAACATACTTATTCACCATGTTTTGCAGTGTATCTCAAATCTCAAAAGTTGGCATTTTAAATGTAATTTACTGTTTTATTACAAAAAATAACTTGAGTTCATTTCTAAATAAAATGATGAAAAGTTTTTTTAGTGAAAAATGAGTGTTAAATATAATGGAATCTTGACACTCACGCCTGGTCATTCATAGTAATGTTGCCATCAAGAAGCTTGACTACAACCCCGTCTATCTTTATGGTGAAGGAGCTGATGGTGGGGAGATTGTTGATATACCGCCTCCTCATTTGGATGTTAAAGTCAGTCTTGGTGCTGTCACACAGGGTGGTCAGTACGTAGTTGCAGGTGTAGGGCAGTTGGAAGAACTGTCCATCAAATGTACTGAAGTGGAAGTTTCCCCATGTGCTGCACACCTGCATGTTGTGATTCACGTTGATTCCTGATGAAACAGTAACATATTCTCTTAAATGCTGCCTTCAATAACCATTAATGTAATAGAGACTTGGATTAATATTGTAGGAACATGTTTACCGTAAAGACTCTCATAGCTATCAGCTATGATTCGTGTTGTTGGTAGAATAGACACTTGGTGGGAGACAAAATAAAGAGACCAATATACTGATAAAATAATACTTCACAGTGTAACCTACATAAACACGATCTTATCTTTGTTAAAAGCATTATTTGATTAGTTCAGTTAATTAATAACACACACACTGTTAAACATACCTGTTGTTGGTGTTATCATCTCTGTTGTAGTTGCGTCCAGAAAAAAGCCATAATCTGGTTAAAATCATAACAATAGCAACAATAATAAACTTAATTTAAAACATGCTTTGCCAAAGAATAAAATTAGCATAAGAGAAAATGAGGATATCAACAAACACCATCTCACAGAATTATGAATAATCTATTCTGATGTTCCTAATTTGAGTTAAAACCACTATAACCAACAAATTCCTTTCCAAAAATCAACTGTGTTTTTCTATTATTACATGTTAAATAATAAAATAATTATCTTGTAATAACAGAAGTGATAGCTGCCTCAAGAGTCCACACCATCCACACCACTTAAGTCTGTATACAATATGAGTAAATGAATGTAAAAACATAGATCAGCTAAAAGTTCTGAAAAGTTCTTTAACATTTCACAGTTCTAATGCAAATAATAACCAACATTCCTACCACGACTTTCTAACCTGTACGTTTTGCTGAGAGTCCATTTAGTAATGCAGCCACACTCAGCACCCACACTCGCAGCATGGTTAGGGTACCCATAGGTGCCAGGCTGTATGTGAGAGGCTGCTGTTCCCTCTCTCTGTGCTTTCGTCCTCCAGACACATGGAGTTTATATGATTGAGGTGAACAGTGATTATGATCTCATGGCAGAACTTAAACTCATGAAGAACAATGTTATCTGATCTTTGTCGTTTCTGACTCAAATAAATATTGAATGTTGAGGAATGTGATTTTTAAGATTAAACATGGTCTGGGTAAAGTTTCCTCCTCAGTGTGTGACAAAAGTTCCATTTATCCATGATCTTCCTGGTGTTTGAGGCCATCACAGATATGGGATGTTGGTCTAAGACACGAAGTCACCAGATTCACAAAGTTTCCTAAGAATAGAAGCACCATTCCAAAATCAGGCGTCCCACTGTTGACCTAACTAACAGAACTATTAAGAATTTCTATTTTCAGTGTGAATATAAGCTATCTAGCCAAAATAATAAAAAATAAATAAAAACACTACATATCTGAACATCTTGTTTCATTTTAGAGTGGGTTTATTTAAGCTAATTTTAGATTATATAAATAGGCAATAGGCAAATTATTATGATCATTTAAAAACATTTCAAACTATAATGTGATAAACTGAAAAGGATGTAACCAATCATTCTTTTTGTAGCACTGATTTTTTACTTTCTTTTTTCTTCTCTTGATTTGTATTTAATATTTTGTGAACAAACTAGACACTACATAGTATCTCTATCAAGATTCTACCAAGTCTACCTTGATTAATTTAACTTTATCCAACAGAAGTGACAGAATTACTTCTGTAGGTGTACTTGACCTTGGTTTTAGTGACCATTGCCCTTTTGGATGCATTAGGAACACATGCATTAAAATGTCAGGCTCTCAGTTGGTGGTTAGAGTAAAAAAAAAAATCAACAAGCCTTTTTAAATGATCTATCACTCAGAGATATTTGTTACACGTCAGAAATCCCAGATATCAACTTGGCGCTAGATCGTTTTAGTAAAACATGGTCGTCAATAAGCATGGCCCTTCTTTGCTTCAGGCAAGAAATAAAATGTGGGCCTTCGTCAGACAAACTGGAGACAGAAGCCACTGGCTTACATTTCGGCAAGCCCAAACACTGAATATAAGTACATTGGCAGATGAATAGATGACAAATGTACTTTTAGATGCAAAAACTTTGTTGACTGTATTGACACAAAATGTGTTTTTTGATATACTCTAGGAAAAAGATGCAACACTGTATTCTACTCTTGATGCTGCTCATTTGATTTACAGATTTTTTTTCTGCTAATATTCTTAAACCTTTAGATTTAGTCTATCACTCAACTCTGAGATTCATCACTGGTGACCCTCACAACTTCATGAAGGAGTTAGTCCTCTCTAGCTGTACTTCATTCTGGATAGCCAGTTAGACCTAAGATTTACTGTTTTAATTCTTGTTAATCAGCTAATCCAGTTCTATCCTGGATAGTTTGATAATCTTATTACTGAATGCATTGATCCTGGATAGCCAGTTAGTTATATTATTGACTTTATTGATCCTGGGCAGCCTGTTAATCTAATTCATGACTGTTTTGTTCCTGGATAGCCATTTAATCCTGTTACTGAGGGTATTCATCCTGGATAGCCAGTTATATTATTGACTGTATTGATCCTGGATAGCCTGTTAGCCCTATTATTAACTATACTGATGCCGGATAGTAAATTAGCCTGCTTCCTGATTGTATTGATGAACGATAGTCTGTTAGAACTACTACTGACTGCATTGATCCTGGACAGTCAGTTAATACAGTTCATGACTGTTTTGATTCTGGATAGTCAGTCAATACAGCTATTGACTGTACTGATCCTGAATAGTCTGTTAGACCTATTACTGAATGTATTGATGTTAGATAGTTGGTTAATCTTGTTTCTGACTGAATTGATCCTGGATAGCCTGTTAATGCAGTTCATGACTGTAATGATTCTGGATAGCCTGTTGATTTTATTACTGAATGCATTGATCCTGGATAGTTAGTAATCATATTCATGAGTGCATTGGTCTTGGATAGCCACTTAATCCAGTTTCTGGCTGTACTAATCCTGGAAAGTTGGTTAATACAGTTCATGATTTTATTGATCTTGGAAAGCCAGTTCTTTTATTGACTTTTGATCCTTATTGACTTTTATAATAATAAAATACAACATGCAGCAAGTTTCTTCCCAGTTAGCAAAATTTATCAATGTTTACAAAATTTTGGATTTTTTTCTGGATATTTTGGATATTTCTAGATTTTTTCTAAAGTAAAAACATAGCACTTATGAACATTCCTAAACGTCTACATCAATCAAAACCAATCCACTTCCAGTACCACAACACTGTTTTTTGAACTGTTTTCTAGTTTTACTGACTTACACAGAAGGGTGATGTGTGTGCAGATCAGAGGACATGCTACTGACTCCCTAGGCTGGAACTAACGCACTAGTTCCAAGCTAACATGCTAACTGCTAACCATTATGGCATAACACTTGAAAAGCACAGGCTATTCCTTTTAAATACTCAGAATAGTTAGCTAACATTAGCTTGTGGTTAACACTTTAGCTCTGAGCTAATGCACCAACTATGAGTTAATGTTAGCTAGCTACTTTAAACATTTAAAAGGGAATAAGTTTACATTAGCCATTATGAATTAGCAATTTAGTGTAATAAAACTAAACCTTGATCTGATAGCCATTTCATTAACCTAGGTAGTCTGTGCTTTTCAAGTGTTATGCCACAAAGGTATTGTTAGCTATAGCTAAGGCTTTTGTTTTCCATACTGGAACCTTATAATTTGAAGTACTGAATCTCACTGAACTAAACTTTCACATCACAAATCCAGAAGTACAGAAAAAGGTACATACTTGCTGTCCAGATGGCCCACCCCCGGGGTCCGGTTCAGCCCGAAGCGCTTCCTGGATGAAGTTTTCCAGTCCCCAGCATAACGGGGCAAGGTTTCAGGCTTCTGAAATGATATGAATTAGAGATTAATTAGCAGGTGGTGTGTCCCACTGTCTGGAGAGTGCGTTGGGCTTGACATTAAAGCCGAACCATTAGGAAAAGACAAAATCGAATCGACTGAAGTACTCACAGTAGCTCACAATCCCTGACATCATAGTTCAGCAGGGGTGAGATGATAGGAATAGAAAGAGCAGAGGTGGAGCTTACGGTTGTCCACAGAGCGTTGGGACAGAACCCCCCTCCATGCCAATAGCAGAGGCGTCATCCTCTAGTATAAATGGTAAGGTGGGATCAGGGAGCCGCAGCACTGAGGTAGAGGTCAACTGACGCTCAAGTTCTTTAAAAGCTTTCTGGGCTTCCAGCATCTACTAAAAGCATCCATGCCCTTCTTAGTAAGGGTTAACAAGGTGGCTACCATACTGAAATTTGTATGAATCTATGGTAAAAACTGGCAAAGCCCAGAGAGCTTTGAACTAAGCGGAGAAACGTGGGACATGGCCACTTAGTAATGGACTGCATTGGCCAGGATGCTCAGACATTTCTTGGAAATCAAACCCGAAAAGCTGACCAACTGAGTAGGAAAAGATGGATTTCTCCAGTTTTAAGTAAAGGTCGTTTTCTAGTAAAAGCTGGAGTGCCTGGCGAACATGAACTATGTGCTCATCTACAGAGCGGCTGTAGATGAGGATGTCATCTAGGTAGACAAACATGTAGTGGTCCTCATTAATTAAGTGTTGGAAGACAGTGGAAGCATTCATTAATCTGAAAGGCATCACCAGGTATTTGTAATGACCAGACGGGGTAATGAATGCTGTCTTCCATTCATCTTCCTGGCATATCCAAATAAGGTTGTAGGCACTGTGCAGGGCCAACTTAGTAAAAATTTAGGCCTGCTGCAGTGCCTCGAATGCTGAGATCATCAGCAGCAACGGGTAATGGGCCTTAACCGCAATTTTGTTTAGTCCCCTATGGTCAATGCAAGACCCTTTACGTAGAGATCCCCAGCCCACCACGGACCGGGTCAGCCAATCCAGGCGTGGATTACTCTGTTGCAGCCAGGGGAACCCTAACTTAGCTGAAACTCACCTGGATGAGCAGCAATTAAATCTGTTCCTTGTGCTGACCTGTCCACAGGGTGACGAGCCAGGTCTGCTAGCTCACCCGCCCAGACCCGAGAGGGCGAGCATCAATGGCTAAAACTAATGGAGGTCTCCAGGTTAACCAGGGGCAGGTTAGGGTTTTAACTAAGAGTAACATTGCTAAAATTACTGGCAAAAACCTAGAGCTTCTTTTCAAAGTTTTGCCCCTATGAGAGAGTGGCAATAAATAAAAGCCCAGAGGTACTGGGGGACTGGCCTGAGTCTATTGTAGATCCCTCTTCCTGCAATGAACCCCGGCCTTTTCCCTCAAGTTTGGGACAACTAGATAGGAAGTGACTGGGCTGCCCACAGTAAAGACATCTGCACTCTACATACGTGCATCAAGTTTCTGAAGAAAAAGGCTGCTCAACTTCTACTTGGTACACTCGAGAGATACAGATGGTTGAATGTACGCCGCATAGAGGCCATAAAAAACTCTGAGGAGGAACACATGGTAATCTTGTTCTCCTAAACAGGTGTGGCCCAGATGAGGGCTCAACCAGCGAGATGATAAACGCCACTTTACAGCACTCAGTGGGGAACTTTGAGGGCTGCTGCCTGAAGGCTGGAGGAGGAGCCACAGCAGGTGTGGCTGGAGGGTCCACCTGTTGGACTTGAGTGAGAGTCCCAGCCAGGCCCTGCAGCTGGGTTAGTACCTGCTGTAGAGCCTGTTTTTGATGGCCAATCGCTGCACCCTGGCTAGCTAGTGCATTACATAGACTGCTCTGCTAAGTCCATGATCTGGCTCACTCTTGCTGTAACATGGTGGCTGTCTTATCCCACATGAGGATGGAACCAGCAATCCCCACATTAGAAACCCAGCAAACTATGGGATAAGCCACCGGCCAGGCACAGAGATGGACTCAAGTGCACAGCAGTAGAGACTCTAGATTGGGGGAAACAAGAGAAAAAGAAGGTTGCGCTGAGCAAGACTCAAACACACAACCTTGCAATGCTGGAGTGAGTA